CTGCTTGGCAGTCCAAAGTGATCCTGTTCTCCACCAACCAGTCCATGCCGATAATTACTTCGAAATTGAATACCGGCAAAACCACTAAGTTGATTGTATAAATGCTTCCTTCATACTCCAGAAGAACGCCTCTGCAAATTTCTGAGGCTGTACAGGATCCCCCCGTAGGAGTACTGATTTGTAATTCATAGGGGAGTGGAGCTGGGGTTATACCTATCTTCATAGCTATATGTTTTGCCATAAACGAACCAGATGCTCCAGAATCAAAAATAGCAGAAATAGGATAACCGTTAAGGATTATGTTACCTCGAATAAGATTCGGATATTTCTGCGCCTCATTAGCATCGAGGGTGAACACTCTGGCCTGAGTAGGTTGCTGACTTGCATAGTTTTGACATTTAGAAGCGAAATGTCCAGGTTGACCACATCTGTAGCATGTGTTGCTTCCCTGTAAACAGACTCCAGCATGGTTTTTCCCACAATTAGAACATGCACTGGGACCCTGACGTCCTGCTGATGACTGACCGGGTGCAGTATTTCTCTTGAAATTACCATTCCGAGCTTGCATCTGTGGACCCTTTCCCTTGTTCATTCCCGTGTTCTTCTTGAAGAATCTGCCCCCTCTGTTTCCTCCCTGCTGTTGCACCGGTTGTCTATTCAAATTTCTTGCTTCCATGATAATGCCTTCTGCCTGCCGACTCTGATTAATGATTTCGGGCAGAGTACGGATAGCCGTGGTCAACATGAGCTTTCTGATCTCGGGATGCAATCCACTCTCAAACTTCTCCACTTGCCACTCCTCATCATAGATGTTACGGTCAAAATTGGCATATTCCATCAGTTGTGCAAACTTTGCAATGTATTCATTGATAGTCATGTTTCCTTGCCTCAAAGACAGTAGCTCTGTGTGTTTCATTCTTCGCATTGCTTTTGGAAAGTACTTGTCCAAGAATACCCTCCTGAACACAGCCCAGGTCACTTCAGTATTCTGAGCTCGCAGCAGAGCTCTCGCGCCAGTCCACCATGTCAATGCTTCTCCCGTCAACTGATAGGAGGCATAGTCCGGCTTCTGAGCCTCCGGGCATCCCATCCGTTCGAAGATATGTTCGATCATCTGCAGCCAGTTTGCTGCAGCCTCAGGGTGGTCTCCACCTTCAAAGATAGGTGGTTGAAAGTTACGGAAGTCCTTCAACCTCCGTCGGGCAATCTCCTCCGCATGGTCCTGCAGCGGGGGTTGATTCTGGTTCTGTTGACGATGTTCTTGCCATTCTTGGCTCATGTTCTGGACGAACGTGGCCAATCCCCCAATTGTTGTGATAAGATCCTCTTCAGCATTGTTAGTCCTTCCCCGAGTGGAACCGCGATTACCTGCCATGATTCTGCACTCACAATATCACGAAATGAGCTGATCGGACTCACTGCAGGTTATTTATGACAGCAAATTCAAAGTAGGTACTCGAGTTCAAATCGGGTAAGTTAACAGTGCATCGATCCCTCATCACCATCTAAATCTAACAGTCTAATTACAACAGTCAATACCTAAATTTAACAATTAACGTAATCCATCATCCGGCAGATAGCAAGTAGTGAATATATGTCAAACAACAAGCAAATCATTCAGCAGTTAATATCAATCAATTAAAACAAGCAACAGACAATTCAAGCAAAAACAATCACCATGAACCAAAACTGCTCTGATACCAATTAGTGTAACACCCTCTCTTGTATGCATCCAAGAGAGTCGTTTGCTAATCGTTATTCGAGTTGTGGAAACGGATGAAAACTTTTTCAAAAAAAAAAAAAAAGATCTTTGAGAAGTTGTTGTGGAAAGCTGAATCTAAGAAAATTTTTGATGGAAAGAACTTAAAATGTGTTGCTGATAAAAATGGTGAAAATTTTAGAAAACCGTATCCCTTTAAATATTAATATAAAATCGATTTTTCAAAATATTTTTGTACAGTTAACGAAATCTGAATGTAGACGCTTGGGGCTTCGCGTGCATATAAAATAATAGTAAATCGGAGGTCATTCGCCCCTTGAAACGTAACTCATAAGTTGACCGTAAACTGTTAAAATTCAGCATTAAAAATAATTCCTTTTCGCAAAACATTTTCAGATTTTCTTAAAATAGCCGCTGTTCGTAGAAGACTTAAAGCAGAAATAAATCATAGTTTTACAGTCATCCAAAAATCATCAAGTACCACATAATACAGTCATCCCAAGCTTAAAACAGTCAACAGTGAATAAATCCAGACAGCAACAAAAATATAACAGAGTTCAACATCCAAGTCCTCAAATGCTTTTACGTTCTCCTGCAATTTAAAAATTGCAGCCCCAAAGGGGTGAGAATAAACCCAGTAGTGTGGCAACAAAACCAAATGCAACAGTATTAACTAGGCACAAAATCATAAATAGTCACTTCAAACATTTAATCCTTTTCATCATATATCATAACGCGTATATAACGCCCTTTTTCCTTTACGCTCATAGCACCGTCGTGCGCGTAGCATCACAGTGGGTATTCCTAATGGCTCCCATGAAGGTGAATCCCACTGTGGAACCTATGCGGACTGAAGCCAAGTGTCCCCTCTCCTGGTACCAGGCATGCCTATATGATGCATGCTCAGTCACATGTCCTCAATACAAATATATATATATTCAAGATGTCATGAATCAAGTATACATGCCATGTTATGCAATCGCACCCAACAGAAAAATGTATTATGATGTAAAATGCATGCATATATCATATCATCCTTTCATATTCTTACCATTGGCTCATCATCATCATAACATACATAGAACAAATGTGAGCAACACATCACAATTCCATACACTAGCCAATAGTCACAGAAGGTAATACCGCCTACACATACCTCGTACGTCACAATTAAATGTACCAGACAGCAGCGTATAATCCAAAATTTACGGCTTTTGCGCACCTAATATACATTGCAACAAAATTAGAATATGTTTCAGCCTTCTCTATTAATTACCAACAATTCTCCAAACCTAAAGGTTCATGTATCCATTCGGCCAACAATGTTATTTTCCTAAAATATTCTGACTTTCAAAACAGTCTTCCCAACGTTTAACAGTGAGGGTTTCTCAAGGTTCCTAAGCATGGCAGAATCGATTTTTGACATAGAAGTTACTCAAGATTTTTATTCATACAATTTCCTATTTCTATACTCAGAGATGCGAAAAAGGAGCTTATTATTCTGCTGTCTACATAATTCTAGATGGAGTTTAGCACACAATAAGGCTGGTCCAAAACAGAACCGGTTTCATCATACAAGGCTCATAACGTTTATTCAAATATTTGGCTTAACAACACATGGAGTATGTGAAGGGAAACTAAACAACATGCTGTATATATATAAGTTAAATAAAACTTAGTTGATAACAAGTTTTATCAAGACAGAATCGGTTTCATCTCAACAAAGCATCAAGGATGATTTCTTCCAAAGCTCACGAATTCATTCAAGGATCGCTACAAGGGACCTAGGCATGCTGTCCAAATTATTTTGCTTCAAAAATTTAAAGGAACACCAGGCCATCATCAACAACCCCATCATTTAACTTTAAGATCATTACCAAGTTCTGAAATTAATTCTAAGCTTTCATGCTTTCAACTAATACCCAAGGGCAAAACATGACAGAATCCATAAAGTAACTAAGACTATATCCTAAGCATGCTTCTCGGTTTCAACAAAGGGAAGAAGAAGAGGGATTTTGGGCCTACCTCTTCACAATACACAAGGAAAACCAGTTTGAATCAAAAGAGCAGCAACTCAATCCCTTAAGTTCCACCACAACTCCACTCTCTTGGAGTTACCACGCATAGCCGAGTAAGAGAAGGAGGGATTTGTATTTGAGACTTGGTGATTCCTTAAGGGTTCCACGGTTTAGAGAAGAAGAGAAAATAATACAATTTCTGGTTGGTTCCCTTTTTCTAATAGTCTACGGCATTGAGAGGGTGTTTAAGAGTGATGAGAAATAGAGCAATGGTGGCTGAACAAGGAGGATTCATTTAGATTCCCTTTTTAACTCCATTGGCTGCATGGCTGGCCAAAAGTTGCAAGACTTAGAGGTTTTAAATCAAAGTTCTGATTGCTTCTCATACACTCTATGCGCATGCAAGGCTTGATGGAAGATGGTGTTTGCCACATGTTGAACATGCAAGTTTAAGGTGGAATGACATGTGACCAGAATTTTGTTTTTCTCTCCTTTAATTTTCTTAGCGCATGAAAAGGCACAAAGGATAGTTTTAAATCTGATTGAGTTAGAGTGTTAAAGTGTAAGATCAGAATTCCATCCTTCCTACCTATGTAGCGTGACAAGTAGGGGCTGGATGACATTGTTTATCCAATAAGGTTGCATGCAATGCTGGCTACTTGTTATCTATTGGTTGCATTGCCTTAAGGCTGATTGCCTTTGGAAAATTCAACAAGCAACTTCAGCCTTCTCCTTGGTGCAGTCCATGCGCATAGAAGGGAGGGATTTTAGTGGCCAATCTGTCCACTTTTAGATGATATAAATCAGAATTTCTGCTCACACTACCTATACCTACGCGCACATGTGGAGGGAAGATAAGGATAACTTGCCATGTGTGATCACCTACCAATCAAAGACTAACTTATGGAGTTCCTTTGGATATTATTAAGATAATACACAATGAAATTTTGGGCTGCACTAAGACCCTCTTTGCAGCCCCTTATGCTTCGGCCCACAAGCATAAAAGAAGGAAACAATAACACCAAAATGACAAGCCCAATGGATTACCATTCCAAGATTATTCTAAGACATCATAAAGTTCCACGTCTCCTAAGTACCTTTGATTTTTTTATAGATCGATTTTCTATCATGCTCATATACTTTACTAGTATTTCACATGCCTAAGGTACATTCGCATATATTCTAATAATTCAAGTAATTTCTCTACTTCTAACCATAGGAGTCAAAATTAAACACACATTCCATGTGATTCGAATTTTCAATCATGCATGGTTATGCCTTTTAATAATGTATATATATTCCTTAATTACGTGGGATGTTACATCCATCCATCTCTTTTGCCTCATGTTCAACTCTTTCTGGTCAAACAGATACTTCAGACTTTTGTGATCGCTATACACTAAGAAATTAGCACCATATAGAAAGTGTCGCCATATTTTCAGGGCAAACACTATAGCTGCTAGCTCTAAATCATGCGTAGGGTAATTCTCCTCATGCGGTTTCAACTGCCTAGAAGCATATGCAACAACTCTCCTATCTTGCATTAGAACACATCCCAAACCTTTCCCTGAGGCATCACAATAGACCTCGAAGGTACGCTCAGGATCGGGAAGGGTCAATATTGGAGCAGTCGTCAACTTTTCTTTTAGTGCATGAAAACAATCTTCGCACTCCTGAGTCCACACGAATGGGATCTCCTTTCTAGTCAAGCAGGTCAATGGTAAAACCATTGTAGAAAACCCCTTAATAAATCTTCGATAATAACCGGCTAATCCCAGAAAACTTCGGACTTCGGAAACAGTCTTAGGCCTTTCCCAATCCATCACGACCTCTATTTTACTAGGGTCCACTGCCACTCCATCAGCAGATATGACATGGCCCAAAAATTGAACCTTTGACAACCAGAACTCACACTTGGAAAACTTGGCATACAATTGATTATCCTTCAATACTTGTAGAACAATCCTAAGATGGTCCGCATGCTCATTGATATTCTTAGAATAGATCAAAATATCATCTATGAACACAACCACAAATTGATCCAGATATGGCTTGAACAAATGGTTCATATAGTTCATAAACATTGTCGGAGCATTAGTGAGACCAAAAGGAATTACCTGGTACTCATAATGTCCGTATCTAGACCTGAATGCAGTCTTCGGAATATCATCCGACTTAACCCGAATCTGGTGGTAACCTGACCTCAAATCAATTTTTGAGAAGACACAAGCACCCCTCAACTGATCAAGCAAATCATCTATGCTAGGGAGAGGATACTTGTTCTTTACAGTCACTTTATTTAATTGTCTGTAGCCAGTCACAAGTCTCAAGGTTCCATCCTTCTTCTTGACAAATAATACTGGTGCTCCCCACGGGGACACACTAGGTTGGATGAACTGCTTAGCCAACAAGTCCTCAATCTGTTTCTTCAATTCAGCCAATTCCAGAGGAGACATCCGATATGGAGCCATAGAAATGGGCCCCACACCAGGCAACAATTCAATAGAGAACTCTATTTCTCTCTCTGGTGGAAGATTTGGAATCTCATCCGGAAATACATCCATGAATTCATTTACAATTGGGATATCAGCAATCTTATCTTGAGTACTACTGCTCACTAATCTTCCCAACCATATATAGCCTAATGCTCCCTCCTCTAAGACTCGTCTAGCCTGATGTATTGATATACAAGGAGAGGAGCTAGTAGCAGACTCCTCAGATAACATCACTAGTTTCTTACCACAGCAGTCAATCACTGCACAGTTTTTAGAAAGCCAGTCCATACCCAAGATGACTTGAAGACTAACCATGGGTAGACAGATGAAGTCAATTATATAGTCTCGACCTTCATACTTGAATTCAACATCCTTGCACATACAGGAAGTACTACATTTTTCCCCTGTAGCTGTAGTCACTTTCATAGGAGGAGACATTTCATACATTGGCAAATTCAAGCCCACAGCCATAAAATCGGACATGCAAGAATGAGTAGCCCCTGTATCAAACAACACATCTATATCATAACCATTAATATAGATCGTACCTTTTACCAAATTAGGCCCTTTCTCCGCCTGCTGCTGAGTGATAGCATAAACTCGTCCCACAGTCTGAGACTCAGAGTCAGCTGGAGTAGGAACCATCTGAAGAGGTGCAACCCTGACATCTCTCCGAGGACAGTCTCTAGAGTAGTGGCCAGTCTTGCCACATTTATAACAAATCACCTGGCCCGTGGCACACGGTCCTCTATGCTCCTTACCACAACCAATACACTTAGGGATCAGTGGTCTCTCAAAAGAACCAATTTTCTTGAATTTATTACCTGATTGCTTCACCTGTAAATTCTTATCTTTATCATCATATTTCTTGTTCTTCCAGTAATTTGAACTACTGGACTTCTTGGAATCAGACTCTTTAGAATTTCTGTTCTTTTGCCTCCCATGGATATCCTCAACAGCCCTGCATTGATTAATCAGGGTGGAAAAATCTCTGGAACCACAACCTGCAAGACTTACTGCAATTCTATCATTTAATCCTCTCTGAAATTTTGCTGCTAAAGACTCTGAATCTGGCATAGCTCTCCTGAAGTGAGCATACTTAGCCAACTGATTGAATTTGGCCAGATATTCATCAACAGACATATCACCCTGCACAAGAGCATTATATTCACCTTCCTTCCTTTCCCTAGCATCACGGGGAAAGTACTTGTCAAGAAAGTGCCTCTCAAACAAAGGCCATGTAATAGCATGACCCTGCAGTTCCAATGGGCGAGAAGTATTTAGCCACCAATCACTAGCATCACCTTTCAGCATATAAGTAGCATACAATAGTCTCTGATTATCTGGACATTCCATCACCCTAAAAATCCTCTCTAGATCTTGCAACCATGTAGCAGCAACAATAGGGTCATAACCACCCTCAAAAGTAGGTGGCTGATGTTTCCTGAAAGCATTTAATCTTTTCTCTCTAGCCTCAACATTATCCATTGCAACCGTGTGAACAGATTGCAGCTCAGTATGAATAGTAGCACCTCCATGATGACTAGCCTCACCCTCTCCATCTCTGTGCTCTACATAGAGAGTATGCGGAGATGGAATGGGAGTGTGTGGTGGAGGAGGTGGCGGCGGCGGTGGAGGTGGAGGCGGTGGGGGCTGATCCCCGCTCTACCATCTCTCATGGCTCTCAACTCAGCCATCATCTGGTACATCAAAATTTGATTGGCAGCAATTATATCTTGATTTGTTTTCATAAGAGTTCCATTAGCCTGCCTACTAGTAGCCAGCTCCTGCTGCACACCAGCCAAAGCAGTAACTATAGGATCAGGCTGACTGGAAGTGGCCCCAACAGTATTCCGAGATCTTAACAAAGTAGCTAATGTAGGATCTGTCTGATCGTCATCTGCTGCCGGAGGTCTCCTAGGAAGAACCATGAGTCTGCACATGTTACACAAAGGAATGAGTTGATCAGGCCCACACGAAGTGGTTACACATGCATTATCACAGAAAATCCTAAAAGCCACTCATAACAACACTTTTATTGCAATACATCAAAGAATTCCCTTTTCAAAACTGCTCTGATACCATAAAATGTAACGCCCCGTCTGCAGCCGGTTAATTAACATTCATATGATAGTAAGCACAACATGCTCAACTTAATTAATGCGGAAGCTAACTAAATAATATTCCCTTTTTCCTTATGTATTGCAAACTTTTTCACTTCCATGGCTAAAATAAAACGGACAACATTTCCTCTGTATTTTGGACCTTTGGGGATAATTCCCACTATGATAATTTCAACCTGATTGACAGTTTAATATAACTCAGGCATACCACAGCATAGATAAAACATATTGCCCAGCCATCCATGGCCTAGGCTATCTCATAATCATACTCTCAAAATAATGTCCATGATGTTACTTATATAATTACATCAAATAAACAAAAGAGATGCAATTAAATAAGTAACATAGACCTGAGCATGCATCACTAATAGTATATACAGACTATCAACAAGGCATAGACATCTTCTATGCTCTCAAAAAATACATGGCACATACAACCCAAAATAAGGTATGTTAGGTACAAATCTAAATATCCGTAAGACCCTGACAATCATGTCAAGTAGTATCTCTCATCTGGCCTCTTGCCACGCGATGCCTCAACACCATCAGCTCCTGTACCTGAAATGGTAATCCCCATAACGCGGGGTGAGATAATATAATTACCTCAGTAAGCTAGGGACCCTTGGAGGGCTCCTCCAACCCTAAGCTCACTTCTGGTATAATAACAGTATAAAAATCCATGCATGCATCAGAATATGTATGACAATGCAGTGTGCAATAATGTAATCCTACTGGCCAGAGAATATAACAAGTATGCATTACGCAAGGAAACACCGTCTTGCAACATACCGTATGAGGAAACACCGTCTCATACTATGCATAAGGAAACACCGTCTTATGCCTCACACAAGGAAACACCGTCTTGTGTGGCACACAAGCATACATACATATACATGCAACATATAATATCATTTTCACATACCATATCAAACTACCATCCTCCCTCGGGGTCTGGTGGAACAAACGGGGGATTAACCCCAAGGACCGAAAGCTTACCTGGCAAGCAGTGTCCTCCACTAATTCTCGTGTCCACAGCGTCACGATCTCTCACAAAGTCACAACCTAGTTCCAAGATGTGAAGACAATCATTATTCCTATATACCAGTCTATCACGCTTAATTTTCAAGCCTACACATACAAGAAACCTACACTTGATTTTTAGTCCAATTTATCAAAGTGTCCTAAACGGTCATTTCATAATTTTTCCTTTTACGGGAACCAATCCCAAGCATATTTAACAAAGGAAGCTATATTCAAATCACTCTCTAACAATCCATACCATCAAAACCCCATTTATACAACCCTAAACTCATGCATTTTGTCCAAAATCACAAGAAGGAGTTGAGGTAATTACCTTGGGAGTCTCAAATCACTAAATAGAAGACAATCCAAGCTTTCAACAAGGTCACAACCCCTCCTCAAGCTTTAAATCCGAAAATGGCAGCCATGGGTCCTTCAAAATATGTTTCTCTCTCATCCAAATGTAGCTACCAAGTTGAAGGGATGAGGAAGAGGAAGGAGAACAAGATGGAGAGAAGGAATGAGAGTGATTTCTTTGATTTCCTTAAGGATTTGCTTGGAATAATATGGAAGAAGAAAAGAAAAAAAAAGGAACTTCTTCGGTCACACAGAGACCATCGCACGAGAGAGAAAGAAAAGAATGAAGGAAACGAAGTGGTTTGGGGCTTAAAGTGACTTTTATAATTAACTGGGTATAAGTTTATCTATCTCGCTCATTTAACTCTCATTCTAACTTTAACCATTAGTCCAGAATATTTTTATGGTAATATTTATAATTTTACTTTTCACTTTAGGGTAACTTTATTTACCCGCATTTTTACTCCTTAACTGTCATTTTAACTCCTTTTTCTCCGTAGGTGACTTTATTTCTTTTTCTTCTACTTTCCTTATAATTATTCTTCAATTTCATGATTAAAATCATTACTTCATAATTAAATCCAACACTACATGTGAGGGTTATTATAACCACCTAAGCTAAGTCAGACGACAACAGAGCAACGCGGCAAGCAACCCAACGGCACCAAAACTGACAACCACAGTGACGGGAATGGCAGTCCAGTCAGCACCTCATTTGCTCCACTCCCGCCAGTTCCCTTTACGGGACATGCTGTAACTATCCAATTGTATTATTCCCTAGTTAGTTTGAATAAAGGACGAAATAACTTCATTCATATTGAACAAAATTTTAAATTATAATGAATATTCAATTATTTAATTCATAACTAAAAATTAATAATTTAACTTAATATGTCAAATTGTTAGGGTTTTGATTACTAAACTTACATATGTAACTATATAATACTTAAAACAATTGTTACGAGTTTAATCATTACTAATTAACGTTATTATAAATATAATAAATCAAAATTATTACTAAAGATTAATGTTTACAATTTTCAATATTTATTACTTATTTTTCTTACAGTCAAGTTTTATGGCATTGTAAATTACAATACGATTACTATTAATTAAAACACTATTTTAAATTACAACATCATAATTACATTATTGTATATTGTTTACCAAAAGACAAATTAAATCGATTATTAATTAATTGAGGCAAACTTTTTCTATGCGTAGCTTGTCCAAAAATATTGGTAATAATCCAAGCAAGTATATTTATAACAACGTTATAGGCAAAATTGATTATTATTGTTAGATAAATAATCAGTGAGCTAAATAATCTTTTCATAATACATAACAACCTAAGAAAAACCTATTGAGCTAAATAAATAATCATTAATTGTTAATTAAATAATTAAATAGTAATAAATATTAGTGTTATATGTAAATATTTGCTTTGTTAATAATTTACGGTTTTCATAAGTGGTAACAATTAAAATGGTAATAACTAATGTAATTATGTTGTAATTAGTGATTTAATGATAATAAATAACATAGTAAGAAAAACACCTAGTAAGTTTTATATAGTAATCAATAGTGTCATAATTCATCATTAATCATGTTATTGAATAACTTTTCAAATTTAATTAAATAATGAAAATATTTTTGGACAAGCCTACGCATAGAAAAAGTTTGCCTCAATTAATTAATAATCAATTTAATTTGTATTTTGGTAAATAATATACAATAATGTAATTATGATGTTGTAATTTAAAATAGTGTTTTAATTAATAGTAATCGTATTGTAATTTACAATGCCATAAAACTTGACTGTAAGAAAAATAAGTAATAAATATTGAAAAATGTAAACATTAATCTTTAGTCGTAATTTTGATTTATTATATTTATAATAACGTTAATTAGTAATGATTAAACTCGTAACAATTGTTTTAAGTATTATATAGTTACATATGTAAGTTTAGTAATCAAAACCCTAACAATTTGACATATTAAGTTAAATTATTAATTTTTAGTTATGAATTAAATAATTGAATATTCATTATAATTTAAAATTTTATTCAATATCAATGAAGTTATTTCGTCCTTTATTCAAACTTACTGAAGAATAATACAATTGGATAGTTACAGCATGTCCCGTAAAGGGAACTGGCGGGAGTGGAGCAAATGAGGTGCTGACTAGGCTGCCATTCCCGTCAATGTGGTTGATGGTTTTGGTATCGTTGGGTTGCTTGACGCGTTGCTCTGTTGTCGTCTGACTTAGCTTAGGTGGTATGGTGTGCCGCCAGTGTTTATGGCGGGACTGAATCCGTCAGTCAACTTGACACGGTTGACTGCTCTATAATGGACATACTTTTCAATTGTATCATCAAGTGGAGATACGTTTAAAAATTGACCGTAGTACGATCGTTTTGTCTATTAATGGATGGTCCATCGCAGACCGGGTCTATACAGACCAGGCCGGCCTGCATACTCACCTTTAGCTAGAGCATACTAATTAGAAATTAACTTACTAAGCAAGAAAATATGATCAAGTAATTTATTAAAGTGATATAATATTATATCTTACAAATTTTATTTATACGTGGAGAATATTAATTAATTAATTTTGTATTTTAAAATTAATTGGGTTAATGGATATTTTAAAATTAATTAATTGTATTTTATAATTAATATTATTATTGTAACTAATCCATTGTGATCACATTGAATTATGCTTCTGACATTTGTTGTTATTAGGCCTAGTTATGCAGCAGTCTAGACTTTAGTGTAACATTGATTTGTCATGATGGGTGAACCCAGTGGACATAGACTCTTTCTGTGTTATTGGCTAGGTCCTTCTTTAGCCTATTTATATTGGAATTAAGTTCATGTTGAAGGCTGCCAATTTCTGAATAAGCAATAGAGAGGAAGACTCTAACATTTTGTTTCCTCATTTCCAGCGATTCTTCTCCGACTTTATGATGGTCTAACAAGGTACGCATAATTGTAACTCTGATTTATTGTTATTTGGTATTTTACAATCATGTGCATGTTTTATCATTTTAATTATGATTTATAGAATCCATTGAACAATGAATTTGTTTGTTCGGTTGGATTGAGAATTTTAGGATTAAAAGGTTATTTTGTTTTCGATTATAGAACCCAGAGAAGAGGAATTTAGTTCTACCATAATTAAAAGGACATTTTTTGTTTCGATTTCCGTGTCCTGCTGCCTTCTTGATTACCATTTATCGTGCACTCTTGTTCTGCATTTTTTATCTGGATTTCTTTTGCTTTATATGTCTTATTGTCATTAGTATTTTTTTTCAAGACTAGATATACAAGGTTTGTTGTATCAAAAAAAAATATATATATATATAATTCATTGCAATTCTGATAAACAAGGTTTTCGATTTCTTTTGCTTTGATTTCTCCAATATAAT